TTTACCGTTTATTATTAGATCAAAATGTATAATAGAAATGTAATCTCAGTCGCAGATGAAGTTTCATACTTTTGCCTTAATTAATTTTCTTCGTAATTTAAAAATATGCAACTTAATTTTTAGAAAATGTAATCTAAAGAATTATTAGCGAAGATGTCGATAAAATATAACAAAAAAAAAAAAATAACAAAGTTATAAAAATTAATATGTTTGTAGTACTATAAATTTGAAAAATTTATAAGGAATGAGGGATCATCAATTTGGCTTCTGAGATATTCATTTGAAATTTTACTTTATATTTTATAAAGATTTATGTCAGTATTATTCACTTGTGAAATTTTTCGACTTTGGTAAGATATTTATAAACGTTATATTAAAAATTCACTGTCAACGTGTACCTATATATATTTTAGGATCTTATTCATAGTTCATGTTTTCGCTCGTATATAGATATTTGATGTGATTTTATTTTTATAATACATTAAACATTTTTCGAGACAACCATTCATGCGTCCTTGGAGTTTGTTATTGCGGCGTACAAGTGCGTTGTGTTTATACAAGGTCGCCGTCCTTCCCACTTGAACGCCGAGTCTCGAGCTGGTAGGTAGGTAGTGTCGCGGTCGAGACTCCGCATGTCGTCGCGTTTCTTATCGAAAGGCGATCGCGACAAGTACCGAGAGAAAGTACAATCATTTCCTGCGAACATTTTGCGGTTACAATTCGGTACAATTGGTTGGCTTTCGCGATGAAAGATTCGCGATATCGTCTATCTTTCACCTAGCTATTCCTTGTAATTTATGCATTCGAAATAGAGATCAACAGAGAATAGGAATTCGAAATCGTTGCCTTGCGATATTTATGAGTAATGATCGTTTTTTTAATGCTACTTACACTGAGAGAAGTGTTTGATATTACTAATTATTATTGTGTGATAAATAATTATGAATGGTAGCTCCTTTTTTATAATTATTGCTACAATAATATTAGTAATAATAATTATATTTATAGTTCTAGTAAAGAAATATATAGAAATATATAGCATCGAAAATGACTAAAAATTATAATTAAATTATGATAATTACAACAATTTTTTTCCGTCAGTATATTTCTTGCATCGTCCTCTACTTTTCATTGAAAATAATTTACTTATTATTTTGATTAGTGCAGAATAATATGTCGGATCAAATCGTCATTTGATCCAAGAAAAATCAATACGTGATACTTCAATCGCGTATTGATAATTATTTTGTTGAATTTTTTCGAATATCTAAAGAGGAGATAATATTATATGTTAATATCGCGTTAGATATTTGAAATATTTAACAAAAGTAATCTTCCTTGAATTAAATGGCAATTTCCAGTTAGTTCAGCTGACTAACTGGAATTAAACGAAAGAGTTAAATTACCGTTACAGTTACTGTTGTTTTCGCGCCTGAATCTTGTTTATGCTCGCACGGTTGAGACTAAAGCCGGTAGCCGTTGTGTACGTATTATTACCTTATTCGAAACGCGATCGTGACAAATGAGAAAACGCGATTGTTCCCTACGAACAGTTAATGATTATCGAGCAACACGACGACAGCAAGTTCCGATGAATGATTCATAGATGGTCATCGAAGCGGCCAGTTATCGAAGCATTGTTTCGTGCGATTTTTTAAATTGCCTGGTACACGTGAAATCGAAAGCAGACAAAAGCAATCTCGAATAAACAGAAATAACAATTTGCTTGAAACGTTCGTGCTCGTTGAAGCGAGCTGTTCATTCGTGTTCGTTCGTATTCGCTCGCACGATTTGGATCCGGCTTGACACGCGCGCACGAGGGAGATCGCGTGCGTGCGCGCGTGTGCGCCGACTCGCATTAATGCAGCGATATCGGGGCCGTGGGAATGAGCGAGTAGCGCGAGCGAGCGTTCCGCTGGCACGAGCGGGTCACCGCGCGACGAGGAGGGGAGGTACGCGGCGCCGCACCATTCACTCCGCGGAGGACAGTAAAGGCCGACGACTATCGACCGTGCTTATGCGGGAGGAAGTGGTGGCTGATTCCGCGCGACACGTGTTTTTTTCCCTCGCTTTGAGAAATGTCAACTGAGAAAGTAGCGACGATTGTTCGTCATCAAACCACACGGTTTTGCCAACATGCAACCGGATTATTACTTTCGCCGCTGGTAGAGAGTGCTTTGCCCTCTTAGAATATCTCTTGTCACTCGGTGTATTATGTTATCTATATACATGACATATTTAATCTGCAAATTGTATTTTGTCTCAAATATTTTAATTGATAAAATAGAAATATGAAAAACTGATCATCAGTTTTGTGTTGAATGAAATGTTAATTATTTGTACAAAGAAACTTATTTTTGTTTAAAATTGAATCTGACGATGTTATAATAAATAAAAGAACATTGTACTTTTGTAAATAATAGTGAATGTTTTACGGTTACGTTTTCAAGAAAAGTAAAGTCATCTGTCTATTCCGGTTACTTTTTTCGACTATCCTTTTCTAATAGGATTGCGAGAAAGTAACACGATAAAAGAAAGTATGAAACAGGTCGTTTTTATATCTATACGGAATTGAATATTCTTTAAGTCACGCTCATTAATAACAACTGCTTCTTATCGTATTATTCTGATATTTTATTTTTTAATTAAAATAACTTAATTAAAACAACTTAATGAGATTATTTTCGTATATTTTAATCTTTGCATTGTACGAAGTATATTCTTTTCAGATATACATAGTTTGCTAATTTTTAACAATTTCATTTGTTCACTGTAGACTGACTTTTAATTAATAAAATAAAATTTTATAAATATTGATTATAATCTTATATACATAAATAAGCGAATTGACGTTTGAGATAGTATCGTAATATGAATTCTTCCGTTGTACAAATTCATGAATATCTCGAGTGTTTTTGGATGTCTTGTATGAATGCAAGTCGAGGTATTTCCGTCGTGTGAATATTATTCGGCAAGGCCGATTTCGTACGAGGAAAAATTCTTGCGCGGACATTTTAATCACTGTAATTACGAAAAAGGGTTATCGAACGTTTGCGACATACTCGTTTCGACCAATTTACACGGTCCGGATAGCCGTGAGACGACCGTAAATGAGGTGAGAGAACGTGGTATGGATGGAAGAGCAGAGGGAGGGAGTAACAGTAACAGGATAATGAATTAATTTATTTAATCGATGCGATGTTGCGACACCGCCGGTGAAAATAACTCACGTAATTGATACATTCCGGGCGGGCCTTACGGAGTTATTTTACAATGTCGCCACGTCGTTCCTGACCTCCTTTAAGTAGAAGTGTACGCTAAAGAAAGCTTCTGCCCCTCCAATCCGGGTGCAAACCTACATCAAATGCAGGGTTGTCCGAAGGGTTGCTTGCCTTCAGGCTGATACCTATCTACCCTAACATCAAGGAAAGATCACAAATAATTTTTTTTCACTATAAGCCACTTTGTATAAGCTAATTTGTCGCTGAATCATTTAATTAATTCGTCAGCTATATAAAATAAATAGTAAAAAATGATTTTAAAAGTTTATTAATTTTATAATTTTTAGTGGTGCGTTTTTATTGATTTTTAAATTAAAAAAGATAGCATAGCATGAGTTTCGATATTTATTATTTAATTAACGAGTGTATTAATTAGAGAATTTATGTTTTATGAAAATATAGAATATTAGTTAATGTATATGAATATATAAAAAATCGTGCCTATATATTATTCATCGCTTTTCTTGTATTTGAATAAATAATATAGCAACAAGAGAGAGCTATTATTTCTTGTAAATAATATGCTTATTTATTTTTTATTGATAAATTATTATGGTGCCAGGTGGTATCAGGATATTTCACGATCGAATGTCTCTATTAAGTAAATTAAATTCGATCAGATCTATCGTATAATTTGCAAATTATTCACCCCTCCGATTATTCTATTATACTCCAATGTATGGTTACTGATCATTGTGGTATCTTTTATTATTTTCCGAAGGGTCGAGGTTCTACCCCCGTGTCCACTGTAGAAAATCATGTGAACTTGAACACACCCTACCTACCCCCCCTCCCCCACAGTGGACATGTGTCTGTCACATATGGATAACACGTGTGCATAATGTCGATCATATCTATGCAGCATTTTCGGTCAAATGAACTATTGTCTACGTATTTCTATTCTTTTTCTATTCTTTTCCGAATTTATTATTAAAAAAAGTTCAATATTGTGTATCTCTATAACTCACTTGTTTTAAAAAACACAACTGATTAGAACTATTTTATTGATGTAAAAATAAAACATTAATGTAGCAATGATAACTCTGTTTAATAGTGAATAGTTTATAAAATCTAGAAAAAATAAATTTGCAATTTCTGTCATAGAAATTCTTCGTAATCACACTTGAAAATTACAATCTCTTCGAATACATAACTCCGTGTACTCACCTTGAGGAAGGTTTCCCGCCTAAAATCTCCCTCCCACTTGGCTTCTGTGGATGAAATAGTTTTGTCCAATGTTCCTTCGAACTTATCTTAAGTGCCTGGTCAAATCTTATACGTTAGCCTTTGGAATTCTTGAGACATTTTCAGATTGTTAAATTTAATGAGCTCTAAATAAATTTCTTTGAAAGAAAAATGTTTCTGAAAATAATATTTAATAAATTTAATATTCGGATTCTTGTTATTTTGTATTTTGATTTGTTACACGATGAAACGATTTTTAAGAATGCCAGTTGAATTTAAAAGTGCTTTTCGAGTATCTCTTTTACGATAAATGTGTTTTTCTTTGCGATTAAGAAGTATATTTTAATTAAAAGAATAATAAAGAAGATTTAAGATTTTTACGATATTCTTAAAATTATTTACTTAAGACTATTTATTTAAGACTAAGATGAAAGGGAAGATTAATTGACACAAGGTATATATGCTTATGAGTAACATTTATTTTAAACAAACATATTGGAAGACAAATAGGAAAATCAGCGATACTTGCTGACATTAAAGCCGATATCACAATCTTGAAATAAACACTCTATAAATGTGTATACATAAAATAGGTACAAATATCACAAACGCGACAAGTGTTGCCGCAATGTAAAAAGAAAAAAAAATAGAACGCGTCTCTTTCTCTTTGACATACCAATTTTTATCTACAAGGAATGTTCCTTTCGATCAGTCAAATGTCAATGAGCTATAGCTACATAATATAATCTAACGATCACAGTTTCGAAATGTCTATCTATCGTTGTCGCCTCACGACTCGATTGACAGTTTGAGTCCTCGACCTCGAGGACGCTTCCGTAGAAAGAAGGTCAGCGAATCTCGAATAATCAGCTCGGGTGATTCGCCTATGAGGTAGATGCTGTCGTTCTCGATGACACCTCACGCCACTTGCACCTCGGGAAGCTGGTACTGCGAGAAGGCGCGCTCCTTGTAGCACAGGTCTCTGTCGGCCATGCTGAGCGTTGTCCAGTAGAAGTCGCCGGCGTGGGTGTGAGCGAAATGCACCGGTACGTAGCACTGACCAGGCACAACCGGCACGACGGTCATCTGTCCGTCAAGGCAAACGGTGATGGCTGCTCCCTCCTCGGCATCCCGTAACTCTTGCAAGAGCCTGTGTTCCAGTGCCTCGTTGGCGTTGTTCTGGTTCTCGATCTCTTCGCTGAAGATCTCCACCTGAGGCATGGCCTCTTGACGTTTGTTGTTCTTGACATAGCTGCTGGTGCGCTTCTTCAGCATGCGCAGCAACGGCTTCAGCGGCTTCAGCATGCGTCTGCTTTTGCGGCTGCTTACGGCCTTGTCTTCCGACATCTTCAGGTTGTAGAGATTATCGTTGAGCTCGTTCTCGAACACGTCGTTGAGCTCGAAGTCGAAGAGCGCTTGTTCGCTCGTGATAGTGGCCATCTTTCTTCTCTCTCCTTCTCTCTTTCTCTTGATCCCTCTCTATCTCTCTTCTCTTTCGAACCACGGTACACTGAACCGGTTTCTTCCGAACTGTCGGAACTCGGAACACGTGGCACGAACTGTCGTTCGATAGGAACTTGGCGGGAGAACTTGAAAGCGAAGGATGTGCTTTCGAGCAAGTCGCTTTGAAGCGAGAGGCTAGTGAGCGAATGGTACCTTAGTACGAGCAACCCCGTCCTTATATAGCCCCGTCGAGGTTGCACAGGGTGACAGAGTGGGGAAGGCAGGTGCACTCTGGCTGTGGGAACTCGGAGAATTCGGAGCTTCCCACGTCGGGGTCCACGCCGACCATCTGCCGGTCTTCTCCCTCCTCCGCCTTCACCGCCCGATCGCCCACCACCTATCTCGAGTCCTTGTAGCACCCTGCTCGCAGGGGCCCCTTCGTGATACACATACACGTGCGCGCACACCCCCGTGATCACCCCCATTCGACCTTCTACACGGTGAATCCTTGCTTTCTTGTTCCGCGTGACTCCGATTTCTTAGGTTTTCTAGAGGGATCCCTTTTTCTAGGATAGAGTCCGGATTTATAAAGGGGGTGGTGTTGCTCCTTCGAGACTGGTTCGAACCTGTCGCGACACGTTCGTACGCGTCACGCGAGCTTGCGTGAGGTGAGACTGATTTTGTCGTCGGCTTTACACTGAATATAGAATATTCAACTTGTTGCGCCTTGCTGTTAACATAGAAAGTGGTGTGGTTTGAGGATGATAAGTTGACTGATTGTATACAACATCGGCGATAATAGAGATAATGATACGAGCGGAGAAAGCTCAATGTTTAATTACGAATTAGTCGATTGTTAGGTTCACGAAAACATTATTATATCAACTCGTGTAAAATAGAATCATCAGATTGTATATTCAATTTCGCCACGCGAAGTAGCGTGACTCGGTGCATTGCAATATAGAAATTATACACTCTACGTGTATGATTCTTTACAGATGACGGGGGTGAAAGAAATTAGTTGTATAGAATTTTATAGAATTTTTTTTGTACATTATAATTTTAATCAAAATTTTACAAAGTTTTACTTATGTATAAATTTCGTTGGAAAAGAGTGCAAAGATTTTAACTGTTTATATTAACATCTTTTATCATGTCAAAATTTTTTTTAAAGTGTAATTAGAATTAAAATGTATTATATAGAAATATCTACATTTTATTATAGAAATCATTTTATTAAGTAGGTACTTTAAGTAAAGATTTTGAACAAATAATTTATTTTTAGATAAATGATTCCCTCAGTTCAGAAAGAGTAATTTCAGCTACGGTCGTTGTTGAAAATTTTTAAGTCAAAGGGTTTGCGTATAGCTAGCCGTAAGTTATAGTAATTAACGTGCGGTAATAACGTACTCCGGTTTCCTTCATTACCCCACTGTGCACGAGAGATTTAGAGCCGAGAAGCGTCTAGACGCCTCGTGATAGGTGCGGCAACCCCCGCTATTAAATACGCCTCCGACCGGATTTTTTGTTATCTCGAAACTCGGCCCCTTGTCTTCATGACACGATCACGGTACGTCCATTAGCTGTATCGTCATAAAAAAGTTTGAAAGTTTTGTGAGGTGTACTTTTTCTGTTTTACCTCGCACCCTATGAATTGCCGACTTTTTTTTACAGGGTGGGACTTTTTTTTACAACCTGTTTCATGATACGAGGATCAGGTGAATACGGATACTTTATGGATACGTTAGTACCAGATAGATAAATCTATAAATATATACAACTTAATGAATATATGTTGTCAGGATTTTTGTTCTCGATTCTTGCAAATAATTATATTGTACAGAGAGGGGAAGGAAGAGATCTACTTGCATTGATTTAAATGTAAAATCATCGACTTGACGATTTAAAAGAGGTTTTAGTGATGCACCTGAACAGCAGTGGAAACCTATCGAGGGTGAAAATCGAGTTGTGAAGGGTCCTGTTGAGCTGGGCAAGGCATGTTGTAGCCATACGCTGCAGGCAAACTTTGCTCCCTCGAAGGACAGGTACACTCGGGTATTATTTGTTTTCACTTGCATTTCGGAAATATAGTTTGAGGCAGGTGAAGCGAGCCTTGAAACTGCCGACTGCGATGAACCTTTTATGATTTGCAAGGGTTATTTTATTTGTTTTTATGTCAAGATATCACTTTTCTTTTTTGATTTTTAAATTTTAAACAGTCTTTTTCGAAGATTTTTAACTGTAAAATTGATATACAGCAACAAGTACTGCAAATATTGCGTATTTTATTATATTATTGTAACGTGACAATCGGTTTTTTATCAGTTGTTGGAAGTTTTTTTTACAAACTTAAAAATAACATGCAGACTGTAATTTATGTTTATCGGTATAAATTGAAATTTGATATAAACATAAAAATATTCATGCGTTATGCATATATTCAATAGTTATGCCTATATTCTACTTATTTATTACTTAGTTAATCTTTGTATATAATTTCCAATTCAGATTTGATCGTATCTTTGATTTTTATCTTTGTTTTGAAAGTTTATGGAATATTTAATTGAATATTATTGACGTAACAGTCGTGTCACCTTCGTTTTTTAACTCGCGAACTTGACGAACTTTAATTTTTGCCTTGTTCTACATTTAACCGAAAAATCATCGACCTTTCATACGAATGACGCATTTAAAAGCGTCGTGGATCGTTAAGCATATCGATCGATTGCTTAATGTTTCACCTATGTGCTAGCCAAGTCGATGGAGTGTATCGTATGCTGAATATTACACCAACATTAACTCGTAAAAGTGCTCAAGCCTCGCTTATTTCCGGTCGTGTACAATTAACATAGGAAATCAAATAGCATAAAACAATATATTCATAGATAATTGTCATATTCGCCGATCTATCGAATCTAACGGATTCAATCGCAACAGTGACTTCAACTCGAACGTCTCTAACTCGTAGGTAGCAGGCAACTCTCTAATGAAAATTGAGGAAACGGATAATTCCGCACGTTTCCTGTTAATCGTGAATTTAAACCGGTTTGCGAGTAGATCCGCGGACGTTCTGTTCTAACAGTCCTCAGGGATCACTCATTTCATTTCTCTCGTTCTCTTCGCAATCGTTGGAAAGAAATACTCGTTCTCGTCTCGCAGGATCTTCATCGCTGGATCGCGGATAGATCTTACAACCGGTTCTTAATACGACCGTCAAATTTTAATTAATTCGAGCCCATTCGCGCGGTGTCCTGATTTAAAGCCGCGCCCACGTGTTTTCGTGCGGACGCGCACGTCGTTTCGGAGGCGTCTTACGTGAAATTAATAATTCATGATCGTTTTTCTCATTCGCTATGTGGAGACACCATCGATTTGGAAACGTTTCGTTGGATTTTAGCAACGTGCATTCCTGTTCGTAAATTTATACTCGTACATTTTATATCGTCGATAATGACATATCGTTTAACGGAACGAAAAGTCACGAGCGCGTACAGCATGATAAATATCGAATATGCGTGTGCGTTCCTTGAGCAGCACGTATCGCTCTGATCCATTAATTAGCAGCATAAATTCCTCGGGCGTTAATAATATTTGATTTTGTAATTTCAAGATTTATTTACAGTTGGACTCTGTTTATCTGCACTCTATTTATATAATACACGAGCAAGTTCGTGCTCAGTTTTAAATATATGAACTCATAGCCGAGCTCTTATTATCCAAACTGACTATAGGTAGGAAAATAGGCGCACGATTTCAGTTTTCTGAATGTTAGCTTCTATTATCGGAATTAATAAATTTAAGTGATAGAGGGAAGAACTAGTGAGCCTCTATTATCCAAATCATTTAGTTCGAAACTGTCCCTTGATATATTCGGAGTTCTACTTGATATATTTGTGTCGGGATAAGTCAATGATAATTTCCATATTGGAAAATATGAAGATCCTAAATATCAGTTTTATTGAAGTTTATTTTACTATGTATTATAAAACTCATTAAAGTTTTGTGATGAATTATTTTTCAACTTTTTTCTTAAGCAAGGAAGCATCTTTTGTTCTTTTGAACAAAAAGATGGCTGTACATTTTAATTCAATATTATATTTATGAATTTAGTCAAAATCTTTTTATATTGAAATAATTGAAGATATAGACAAATCTTTTTTTTTACTTAATATTTTTTCTGAAAATATTACGTAGCACCCGAAGCTATTATCACGCTCGTAAATTATATCGCTTTGAATCTCGCAGAAACGACGCGTTATATTCGTATATTTATTTTGGGCCTCCAACGAGGGTATTAGATTATGCAAATCACGTGCGAGACGAGTGTCGCGGGTCCCATCAGATAAAACGTTATTCCGAAGGTGGAACGTGCGATCCCCTTCACGTTCGGCCGTAGCAAACATTAGAGGTGAGCGATATGACACAATCTTGATTAAAATGCTACCCCTGGCATTCTGCCACTCGATAGTATCGCTTATCGCGTCATTAACCGACGAGAAAAAGAATCCGCGAACGCCTGAATAATCAGGTTGAACGCGCGTTGCGGAATGCATCTAAAAGATGGCTCGAGGAATGCACACGTGAATTTCTTTTGTTTATTTATTACAGCATCTGCAGATAGGATCTTTTTTCGTTTTTACAAGGCACGTTATCGCAAATACAGTATATATTGGATATTATATAAATCGGCATTATTTTATCTAGAAACAAAGTATTCGCGAGAACAAATATAACATAAATTACTTTTATTTCTTGAACATTTATTTTTGTGGAGGAGAAAAAATTTGAAGCAATATACTATAGAAATAAATATAATTTTTTTATTGAATATTAAGTGAAGATAATATTGGTTGATGATTTCAAAGAAAATGCATAATGCAAAGATGATTATTCGCACAAAGAGAACGAAATAAAAAATTTGCGATGGCTGACAAAACTCCTGATCATATTATACACAATTTTCAGTGTAATTATTCAATTGAATTCTGAAGATTATACTTAACACAAGTTAGAATACAGAATTAAATCTCTGGACAATAAATTTGTGATTACTTAAGACGATTATTTATCAAAGAAAATCCATTTTTGTTTGCGTATAAAGATCGTGACCATGGAAATGCCCATCGAGCGTTTGAGAATGAGACTCTACACGGTATTCTCATTAGCATATAATTAATATATGAGCAATGACCGGCGCGGCATTCTTTGCGCTCGCGTATGAAGTCCGACTTGTACACGCATGTTCGACGATGCAGCGGGTAGACGCGAAAAGGGAGAGCCTTCATGAGGGCTTGAAGGGAAAAGGGAAGGCGAAGAAGCGAGCAGGCCAACTTAAAACAGTAGTAGTGACCCCCGGGGCTGAGCAGGCCCAAACAAGAAGTCCCTTCTGACGTCACCGGCAGGTGCAAGCAGAAGTGCATCCTCGTCTTGCCGCGCTCCTCTCGCTCTCGTTCCCTTTCTCCGCTTTCCGCCTTCCTCTGCTTCTTTTTCTGCTTCCTCCTCGCGCACTCGCGTGTAATCGTGCCGATTTCGAGATCGAGATAACTCGGCCTGTGCACGGCGCCCACCGTGAATCCGGTTGGTTTCTGTTGAAAATTTCTGACGTACGTTACTCGCCTGCAGTCGCTCGCTCGCTTACTCGCTCGCTCTCTCTTTCTCGCGGACTTTAATAAATGATTTCCTTTGCGGTTCATTGAGTCGGTTGTGGATAAATTGGCGAGATGATTGCAGAGGTGAAACAAAGGATATGCGAGATATCCCTATTTCGTAATTTTTCACAGGATAGATATCTGATACTATTAAGTGTTTTTTTAAATTATACATTCAAATTTAAAGAAATTTTTTTAACGAAAATTTTATGATGTCAGATTGTTTAAATTTTTAATAAACTTTAAATTTTCAGGATAAAATATTTTAACCAATTTGTGTAGTTTTTCATTTTTTTGTTGCATAGACAATATATGATTTCAGTAAAATTAATTTATTAGAAGTACATTAATTCTCCGTTGACAATGTGAAATATTTTCATCTTTTGTTCGCAATCTAAGTCTTCGATTTTTTAGTACATATTTTTAAATCTTGTGTTCTGGTCTGTATAAAAATCTGAAAAAAAATCTTACATACTTGTGAAAGCTTTAACAAATTTTTTATTATCATAGAAGTTGGAATTTCCTTATTTTTTACAGATTTAAATTAGATTTACATTGTTTACTTAATCATAATATTTAATTATAAATTTTGTTAAATTTATTAATTAAATTTATTCACCAGAGTTTACAATAAAAAACTCTGTGCCTTTAAAGTCCAACAGCTGGCGGAGGGTTATAATACGATTATATCATTATCTATATGTAATTTTCTAACTTTTTTTTACATTTCTGCAAGTAATGCGATATGATTTGAACTTAAATTAGTTGGAATCTAATGTCGTATTGTGGAGGGTAATAAAAAAAACTAGGAAACGCTTTGTGCCATCGAGATTTAAAGAGCATCCGAAAACTCGATACTAATCTACCTGTAGTGATGGTACGTCTAATCGAAAGGCGATATGATTTCACTGATGGATTTCACTGATGGAACATCTTAAGGGCGGTAATAAAATATCCTACCGAGAACATTCCATGGATTTTAATGCCCGATAACATCATTTGTAAATGGAACGACGAAATCCGAACGAGCTGCCGCGCCACGCCGGTGCCAAGGTAGCTGCGTCTCGCTTTATTTCTCGAGGCGAAGGTAACTGCATCCGCGGTTGATGCAGCGAGTTATCTTGATCTTAAAATCGGTACCATTACGCGTGAGCGCACGCGAGAAAAGAAAGAAGGCCGTTGATTCTCTTACGCATTCCTCAGATTGATTCGTCCGTACGATTCTCTGTGTGCAGTGATAATTATCACGTAACATTGCGTTCTATTTGGTTTGATTTTGTATTCTATCTATATCTAGCTTGTTAAATATGGTTTTTAGAACTTAAACCTAATTCCATCAATGTAAGATTAAGTTTAATATTGGTTTAATTTATTGTAAATTAGAAAAAGATAAACAGTAAGTTAAATCGATATTAAAATTAATCTTATATTGGAATCGGGCTTGAGTTAGATGATCACGTTTAATATTTATATGTACCTATAATATAATTAAAAGTTATAAGATTTTCCATTTATAACTGTTTATATAATTTTTTTAGCTATCAAACAATTTTTATCTTATTCTCTTTGTGCAAATTATTGTTTGCTCATTGCATTTTTTCTTGAAATTATTAGTTAATGTTATCTTCATTTAGTACTCGATAGAGTAAAAAAAGAATAAAGGACGAGGTTACATCAAGGGCACATCAAAGAAATGATATTAAAAAAAGAGAAGACCTTATTTGTACCTGGGGCGAAAAATAGTTCAACGACTACTGTATTCGTTTTTTATTTCTCACTTTTACGAGACTGGTAATCGTTTTCGGCAGGTAGATATCGTCCTTAGAGATCTACTTGATTGGAATTTTATCTCTCATCTTACGTAGGGATCTGAATTTAACATGCGCAAGGAGTTTGTAAAATATATTGTGTTTTTTACACCTGAAAATTATGCATATATAGAAATAATTTGAATCACTTATTATTGATTTTTATTATTTTTATTTTTAAACGTGACATCTAAATATAAAACTTAATATAATTTATTAATATAATTTTTATATGAATTTAATATAATTTTAAGTTTACTATTTTATGATTGTGTTAAATCTATAACTATAAAATTAAAAAATTTGTACATTTATTAGTTAATGAATACAACAATAAAATATTGTAAGGCTATAGAAAAAGAGAAAAAAGGGAGAAAATATATGACATATTTTTAAAAGGAACCGTAACTATAATTAGGGATACATTAAAATCGTATAAATTTTATTTATTATTTGATTATACTCGTTACTTCGAATGCTCAGTCTAGCGGGTGCTGTTTGCCACTTCACGGCGAATGGAGTGAATTTATAGTAAGCCCAGACTATTACACTTTTTTCGGTGCTTATTAAATATTTTTTAGGGGGTGTCGGTCGCGGGTCGATACAAATTTCGGTTATTAAGGCGGCACCATGTGTGATCGGACCGAATTACATCTTAAATTACCGAGGGTACGCCCGGCGATTTCTAACGAGCTTTTTTTACTGCTCGTCAATATGATTCGTAAAGCTTGACGTCTTCGACGATACGTTTAATGTTCGCGTTGAAGTTCGTGCGCGATTATAATTTGCCACATTTTCCTTCGTTTTGTATCCGACAGCCGCACCGGTTGGTCGGAATGCATTTTATCACCCGTACAATAAAACGCACTGTTATTTTGTGAATTAACGTTTCGCTAATTTTTGACCGCAGGTGAAGCTGCAACGCGGGACGATTGAAGCGGATTGACGAGCTCAGGTGTTGGTGTTGGTGAGTCTATATATACAAATTTTCCGCTAAGTATTTTGCGTTGTCTTCGATTTAATATGACTTTACAAAGTCTTATCCATGTTATTAACTATGTTTTATGCGTTTATTGTTACATTTTCATTCATAATATAAATGCATTTTTAACCGCAAATTTGAAAGACTTTCTAATGTTTAGCGACTATAAAAATTATGATGTAAGGATAATTTGCGAATCGTCTATTTTTCAAAGTAAAAATCGAAATCTGTGCGACAGATTGCAAGATGTTGTTCAGTATTTCACCGTTTCTTTACGATCGAACGATCCATCCTTCGCGGATAAATTCTTTATGCGTCTGGACTCGCTTGTCCGTCTATCAGAGAATCACGTGGAATCCTTTGTCCCCTCGGACCGGTTCATGGAATTTCCGTGGATAGAATAAAAAGGACTGAATCATAATGCCGCGACGCGCGAGAGGACCCTTTCGATCCTATTGAAACGTTGGAGCGGTATCGGGTGGGATTAAGGGTGGCCACGGGGGTGAATGCAATATTATTCAAAATCACGAAAATCTCCGTTTGTATTTCGTTATTTTCGGGGTCCATTCGGGATCGTAGATGCATATCTTACACCGTTGAATGGGCCACTGTACGGGGTAAGCATCGGCCGGTGTTTGTTCGTCATTTTTCCCCTTCGTTCCCTTCTCGCGTCACAACGAGAACCGAGAGGCAAGAGTGATCCAGGTAAAAAGGGTCAAACGCACGCACAAAGGGCGCTCTCGCCCTCGCGACCGGGCACATGTGCGCGCAGCACGCAATCATAAAAGCGACACTTCGATCTTGCGCCGAGAACGAATCGAACTTATTGAAAGAGAATTCAAGACGGTTCAAGGGTTGATTCGTCGTCGTCATCGTCGTCGCCGTCGTTTCATTTCTCACCGGGAAAACCTGTCGCGCGCACCACCAACTGCACGATGCGCATATGCAACACGATTTCCGCAGCTGCCCTTTTTCTACGTTTGCGCAGCCCTTTTTCTACGTTCTCACCAAACACATCAAGTGCGTGAAATCCTCAACATTAGATTTTTGCAGATTTTTATCGGAAACAGGAATATTAGTTCATAAACAACTAAGTGTTTTTATTACTGCACTTGTCGCTAACATTCCGAATTTTGACTCACAATCAGAGATCTTTTATCCCGCGACTCAACCCTTTCACAGGTGTATCCTGTCGGGAGGGAAATCCTTTCCCGTATTGTTCGCGAGTTTCCGCTAATCCTTTCGGTGCTTCGCAGGTAAAAGGGTTGACATTCTAGGTTAGCGGATCGGAGGGTTGACCAGAAAATGTCTGTTTAACGGTGCAGTAGAACGAAATTATTTGTGATGAACTATATTCATCTAATGTAGTGCATGTGCAGTATCTGTTATTGATCTAATACATATTTTTTTCAAACTTTCTTAAAACTTCTGATTAATTTAATAAAAATCCACGGTGAAATAAAATTTAAATCCAATTTTCGAGGTTCAAGTTTGGTAATCTTCTCATTGTATGAATGGTATCAAACAAAAAAAATCGAAGTTGAAATTCGATAATATAGGATTCAAATCTCATTTCATTCAGAATTGTATCATGTATGAAATTGTATTACCTTGCCCAATATGTACGTATATTAACTTGAAATATAAATCTGTATACTTTTAAAAATATCGTAAAGATTTTTCAAATACTTGATATAACGAAAGAAGAAATTTATTTGATTTTGAATTTTACCACGTTCGAGATCGTAACATCTATTCATACGATATGTGAATAAGGTAAATGTCCCTATTTGTGACCACTCGTGGACTTTTATTAAATTAATCAGAAGTTTTAAGTAATTTATCTTCGCAAAGGGTATTTATCACGTTTAACGATTAGTTAGCCATGGTTTGATATATGGTTTCAGTGATATTTGACTAACAAGTCAAATATGTTTGATAATAGACTAACAGAAGACTTGAGAAAATTTGAGATAAATTTCGAATAATACTGTCCTATTTTTATCAATAAACTTAAATAAGTAATTTGAATGCCGATTGTATCGCGCTTTTAATTGCTTTTGATCTATCCTTGAATATACAATTTACATTTTGAAAACAATTACGTGAACAAAAAATGAAAAAATAATTTCTTAGGAATGACGAATAATTTCTTAGGAATGACGAAAGAATGGTGCAATTTTAGAAAATATAAAACGAGATTTATTCGAATAAGAACTCGAAGAAAGGACTTTTTCTGAAGTAGATTCTTGTAAGTTTGAATCGTTTCGCCATTTTGCTCAAAGACAGAATGATATCTGCTCAAGAAGAAAAGATTGCTTTTTGTGTAACGCGTTACGTAAACTCGAAATGCTTGCGGCAGATTCCTTGCATCGATCTGTCGGTGCAGGTTCGAACCTGCACAGGGCATTCAGGGCACTCGCTTTGATCAAGTTTCTTCACGTGCCAGCGGCAAACGAGACGTGTTCGAACTTGCGCGATCTTCCGCACAGATCAGTAGATGGGCCTCGTTTCTCGCGCAAAGAAGGACGATCCTGCCGGATGCGAGGACCTGCCGCGACGCTTGAAAAGCGAATCTAACGTGGGTGAGTGCATTCTCGGGGAGTTGCGTTGTAAGAAAGTCTTTAAAGGGACGCATTCTAACTCTCTCGCACGATGCTCCGACACGTATTTTTCAATAGCGAATTTCGTCATCTTAGATACGCCATAGAAAAGGGGAAGGATTCGTTTGCAGACGACTGTATCCGTGACGCATAAATTTTGCGTCGGGATATTCTCAAAATTGTTACTCGTTTCTTTTATATAATGCTGACCGATCAATGTAAATCTTCCTTAGACTTACAGAAGGAAAACGTTTTTAAAGATTGAATTTTATATTCTGTATCATCTTTTTTATCATACATTGTTATGATATATTTTACCTATATAAAATAATTTAAAACATTAGTTTAATTTTTTTAATCGTGAGAATTTTTATTAACCATACACACACAATATTGAAGTCATGCGTATCGTATAATCGAGAAGCCTCTTTGAATTCAAAATCTTGAGAATCCAACCCCCTCGAAATATTTAATTTCGACAAAGACATCAATACGTTTATGATGAATTTAATAGGCTTTAAGATCAACATGGAAATCCTAATATCAATATCAAACATTACTCAGTACACCAAATTCGAGAGTTTCAACAAACTTCTTGGAGGACTGCGCGATGATATTCCTTCCTTCGACCCTTCGGATCCAAAATCTTCTAAAGCCTTGCGCATCGAGCTTGGAAAAGTCCGTTTCCATTTACGAATCACCATTATGTCCCTAAATAAACAGCTGTTCCTCGCAAGCCCTGCACCTATGTAAACACAAGATTCTTACGAAACTGCCGCATGCTCGATCGATATGTGTGATTCGTTCGACCGGGGGTGAAAGAAAAAAAAATTTCGAGCGGAGGGGGAGTTTTGAAAAAGTGTCGGAAGGAGAGGGTCGCATTGAAGATCGCAGGACCATGAATCTGCCTTCAAGGCACGGATCCATTCTTAAAGGATTATCATTATAAATTATACATTTCCCTTCTTCCCTTTCTGTACCGCCCTCCTACACTGCCACCGAATGACCGGTAGCAGCTTAAGGATTTCTATCACTGGATTAGCGTGGACCGTGTCATCGTGGTATCCTGTCTATTCGATTTGTCTTCCTTCGAGAGAAGAAATGCTCACGAGTTCTTTTACGTTTCGCGTTTTACAATCTATTTTTTTTTAACGGTATGTTCCGTTCATACATGAGTAATGTTTGGTCTGGCATGTACGTTTTTTTATTTTTGCGGATGTAGCGATATTGCAGATACGTAAATCTTGTCATTTTGCAAAGCGTTGAAAATTCTAATGCACCCAGAGAAAGGTTTCTTCGATTTAAAGAAATGTCTTTATGATTTAAAGAAATTTCTTTGCTGTACGGTTAAAGAAAAAAATTTCTTTGATTTGAACGTCATTTTTTTTATTAAACATTTTTTTAAATCAAATAAAAAAATTCATTTGATTTAAAGAAATTATGTTCAAATTAAAGAAATTTTTTTTTAACTGTATAGCAAAGAAACATTTCTTTAAATTGAAGAAATCTTTCTCTGGGTGTGGATAGTTAAGATCCTAAATCAAAGACATATAAAAAAGGATAATGAAAACTATTATTAAAAATTGTTTTTTTTTTATGACAACGCTCTTCCTAGAAGGTTAATATTACATTACTAATAAATACACAACAGTAATTTTAGTTGAAAATTGGTCTTTCTCTCTCTCAATTTTATTGATTTATAATCAAAGGTATATAAAAATTACAATAGATATTTTACGTTACAACTTAAAATGATTTCTTCCTACAAAATGAAAAAAAATCTGAACAATTATAATTATTATACTTGTTTAATTCAACACGTTCGATGTAAATTAAATAGAGGCACGTTCTAATTCATTTCTAAGATATTCTTTATAATTTTTCTTGATATATAAAAATCTGCGCATGATGCAAGACGGCGTTTAATTTCGTCTCACGCGATTTATTACGAATCGGTGTCTATTAAATATCGGCGTTCCACAAAGGCTCAATACCGATTCATTCGTTGATACGATGACGTTTCTCTGAGTTGCCACGCCGTCTGGACTCGCCCCGAATCGCCAATGTACGATAACAATTATTCGGAAATGCTCGTTCGAACGTCAGAGGCGACAATGACTTTTCGCGAAGATGAGACGACGACCATTACCGACGGCGTCCCCTTCGTCTTTGTGCCTCCCAAATCTTTTTTACGTACACGTGGAGAAGCAGTTTGATGGGTCTCTTTGGTCGGGGCCCGATCCTTTTCTCGCGAAGGGTCCTGTGGGCGGAGCGGTTGGCCGAGAAAGGACCTCATTCGAGTCCGGCGGCGAGAATTCTCTAGGATCCTGACCAGCGGGATAAGGAACGAGCTTTCAAAGGGGCTGAAATTGAACACGTGCAAGG